CCATAGAACAGCAGGCTTGCCAAGAGTCTGCTAGGTTTGTTCCTAAACCAGTTTGCAGCAGCCACATTTGTTATTGTAAAGATGTGATTAAATTAGATAGTCCAGAAGCTGATGAAATATGAGTGCAAAAGGAAGAGATTTGTTTTTATGAAAACTCAATAAGGACTAGTTGCTAAAAGAAAACACTGTCAAATTAGGTGTGGAAGAAACAGCTACAGAAGATGTAGAAAAAAATAACTATGAGAATCTAGGGGCATCCTGCACTTAAGTTGCTACACAAGTGTCTGCAGGTCCTTGCTCCACTTTAAAACAAACAAACAAACGAACCCAAATTGGAAATCAGAAGATTGATTCTGTGTGCAGTTAATGTAAGGATGACAGTGTGCAAAACTAACAGGTCCAGACTCAAAGAATAGACTGGTAAATGAGCACATGTTTATGCTTTCAGCAGACTAAAATGCTCGAGGTAGGTATCATTTAAAAGAATTCCCTGCTTCTTTGATTAACTGACTAACCACTGGTCCCAGTTGAACTGGATATGAGGGCTTCTACGGGATTACTATCCACACTTTGTAGGTGAATAAATTGAGATCCAGGATAACACAGGAATGGAGCCCAGATTCAAAGCCAGTCAGTCTGGCTGCAAAGTCTATGCTCTTAACCCCTACATCAGTGCCGTCCAGTGGAATTTTCTGTGGTGACAAGATGTTCCATATCCATGTTACTCAACGTAATAGCTAAAAGCCACCCACATTATTAAGCACTTGGAATGTGTCTAGTGCAACAAAGGAACTGAATTTTTTAATGTAGCTTAATTTTAATTAATTTAGCTATATACAGCTCAGGCTAGTGACTACCATACTGGACAGCGCAGCTCTGTGTTGTACTGACCATAGCACATGATTGTCCTCATGTCTCAGGATTTTTCTTTGCCTTGGCCCTTTCCAGCCCATGATGTCTTCTGAAATGCAAGTCCTGCCTCCTTTTATTCAGACACGTCTTGATTCCAATATATTATGCTGGCTGGGGAATGGAAGCGGCAGGCCTGGAGGGAGGAAAAGGGGATTCGAGCTCAGCCTCTGTTAGCGCAGCTGAGCCCGAGTCACCATATGGCTGCACCTGCCATCTGTGCTAGCTCCTTGCTAAGCTCCTCATCGGCAGGGAAGTGTGGCCACCACTGAGAGCAAGAGTTCAGCAGGTGGCTCCCCCTCCTTGGCAGCGTGTCCTCAAACAAATCACTGCCTCTTTCTGAGCCTGGGTTTCCTCCTCTGCCAGGTGTAATTAAAAGTACCTACTCCATAGCACTATTGTGAGGATTAAAAGAAGTGATACCTGCTTCGTGCGTGAATCATAGTAACTACTCAGTAAACATTGTCATTTATTCTAACCCTTGGAGTAACCCTCCCGCTCAGACCAGAGGAACTGCAAGAAAAAAATAGCAGTAGGGACGGAGAGAGAGAACAGGCTCGTTAAAAAACGTTTTAATGTGAAAATTCTCAAACATACACGAAAGTAGAGAGAATGGTTTAATAAACCTCCACACTCCTATCATTTACATTTTTAAATTATTAGCCAGAGTAAAAGTTTTAATATCTCCATTGACCTAAAGATCCTTAGGAGACTGAAGGGCGAACTCTCAATGGCTCCAACTAAATGGTCACAAACATGTGTTAGGACTCCTCTGAGCAGCCCTGGCTGGGACCCAACAGTCAGAGACAAGGTCCGGTTCAGACAGTTGTCATTTGTCCCACAAATAATATCCTCATCCACCTGGGAACAATGGTGACCCCCACTGGGTGTGGCTATAGTGTTTCCCTGGTAATACTCATGGTTCTATCTCTCTGGGTCCCCCAAACCATACGGTTTGTCTTTCAGTGCCCAGAAAATTCTGGGAGACCCCAATATCCTACGAATAACATTCTTTAAATTAGAAAGAGGCAATTTTTAATTTTTTGCAACTCAGATTCCTACATGATAATCAGCTGCAGAAAGGCCACAGCTGCCATCACTAAGTAGCTGGTACCTAATGTCCCATGAGATTAAAATAATCCATTCTTTTAGAGACAGACAGGAAAGAGATGTTATCAGGAAAAACACCTGGGCCCTCTGGCCTTCTGGAAAATTACTGAACCACATTCTAACTATAAAAACCAATCCCTTAAGATCACAGTAGGCCCAGGGAATAAGCAGAGCGGAAATGGGGAGAGAATAAATTAACTGGGTGGCGGGGGGTGCTCACATTTGCTGGGCTTTGCTCTGTGCTAAGCGCTTCTTTACACACTTCTGTTTAATCCTCACAGGAAGACTGTTAGGCAGTTACTCCTACCCCAAGTCGCAGATAAGGAAACTGAGGCTCAGGGAGGTGAAGTCACTCACCCAAGATAGAACCAAGGTCTGGCTCACTCAGAAACCCAGGTTCTTTCTTAACCACTGCCCTACCCTGTGTGGCTTTAGATGAGTCCTCTCTTTCTCACTCTGAGCCTCAGTTTCCTCTCCCTGACATGGGAATGGCAAGGCTGCCTGGCTCGCAAAGCTTTCAAAAGGATCTAGACTCATAAGGGGTAGGAAATGCTTTGAAGGATACCCAGGACCCAGCCGGGGACTGGCATTACCTATTCTGTTGTCCTCAAAGCTGACAACCCTGGAGCTCTGGAAGAAGAAAATCCAAGGCCTTCTTGAGGGGTCACAGGTGTGACTCTGGCATGATGATACAGAGAAAAATCACTAGGTCCCTCCAGGTTCCCAAAGGAGGAAGGAAGGGAGGAGGCAGAGGGAGGGGGAGTCGAAGGGGTGCCTTGGGGTGTTGCTGTTTCTGGTGACTGCTCAGCTGATTTTTTTCCAAGCTGAGAAACACACATACACAAATTCTAACCTCTCTGGCTAAAAATAGAGCCACTGAACCAAAAATGCTAAGCACAGGGCACGGTCACCTGCCTGGTAGGGCCAGACAACTCCCCCATGGCCCCATTAATACCCACCCCTAGCAGGCACATTTGACAAAGCATCTCTCAGCTGCATGTCACAGGATCCTCATAAGGGTGGGGGAGTGCGGCCAGACAGGGGTCCTTAGCCCCGGCTCAGAGGTGAAGAAAGTGAGGTCCAGAGAGGTGATGGGAGCTGATAAAGCCAGCAGCATCTTGCCTGACCAGGATCATTGCTTCAGGAACCAGACAGCCCTGAGTTCAAGTCCTGGCTCAGCCACAACCTGGCTGTGAGGACTTGCAGGTCAAGTATCTACTCTGTGCCTCTGTTTCCTGGGCTGTACAGTGAGGGCTCCACGAACAATGTCTGTGAATATGCCTGGCACAGACAGATGCTCCACAGTTTTAGCTTTTGCCTCTGCTTCTGGAAAAAGAATTCTTGACATTTGCAGGCAGATAGTTATGGAAAGGGAGGAGAAACAGCTACTAGTTAAGGGGCATCTGGAAAGTGACACACAATAGCTTTTATAATCCCCAACGTGGTCCTATGAGGTGAGCATTATTATTGCCCCCATTTCTCAGATGGGACAACCAAGGCACAGAGACGTAGAAGGGTTCTGTCCACAAACACCTAGCTAGAATGTTCAGGAGTGGAATTTGAACCCAGGTCTCGTTGACTACACCTGTGTGCACGACCAGAACCTTATTAACTCTCCCTTGGGTGGGCTCTGCCCTTCCCCCACAAACAAACCGCCAGCTCCCATCCCAAGCTTTTCTCAGGCCCTTTTCAGGCTGCAGGTCCTTGGTGTCCCACCTATTTCCAGTCTGAGACTTTAGCCCATGTTTCTGCTCCTCTGGAGTCCGAGCAGAAACCAGAAAATCTAACTTGCTGATGCTGTAGCTAAAAATAAGGCCAAGGCAGCAGCACTCGCACTCGTGTCACCAGCACACTGCTTCTAGGCCACCAAGCTGCCATCTTGCTTCTCAGAGGAAGGGGTCCAGGGCCCCCTGTACCAGGGGTTAGGACCCCATCTCCCTGGGAGCCGAATTGGGGCAGGTGCAGGGTCTGACGTCCCTACAGGTCTGGGCATCCACTCACCTGTGATATGTGTAATAGTGACTAACACGTCTAGACGAGTCCTCAGGGCCCAGCGCTGCTCTCAGGGCTTCACATCTATGGGCTCATTTAATCCTCACAACCACTGTCTTGGTTCCCCGTTGTTGCTGTCACAGACGATCACAAACGTAGCGGCTTAACAAAGTCCTTATCTTCCAGTTCTGTAGGACGGAGGTCTACGCAGGTTTCCCTGGGCTAAACCCAAGGTGTTGGTGGGACTGCATTCCTCTTCAGAGGCTCTAGGGAGGAATCCTTCTTTGCCTTTTCCAGGCTCCAGAATCAGCCCACTTCCCTTTTCCTGTGACCCTCTTCCTCCATCTTCAACGCCAGCAACGTCAGGCTGAGTCCTTCTGCCGCTGCCGTCTCTCTGGTTCTCTCTTCTGCCTCCCTCTTCCAATGATAAGGACCCTTGTGATTCCACTGAGCCCACTGAGATAATCCTGGATCATCTCTCATTCCAAGGTCAGTTTATTAGCAGCCTCAATCCCATCCGCAACCTTAATTCCCCTTTGCCATGTAACCTAATATATTCACGAGTCCCAGGGATAGGGCACGGGCATCTTTGGGGGCGCCCATTCTTCTGCCCACCACAGCTCCTTATAAGATAGGACCCCAATTAACGGATGAGGAAACTGAGTCATCTCAAGTTCACACAGCTGATAAACAACGGAAGTGGGATATGAACCCCGGCAGAGTCCACGTTCTTCTACCTGCTACTGCTCCTTTGTTCACGGTCGTTGGAAAGGAGAGAGGGAAGGAGAGAAGGGAGGAAGGAAGGAGGGGAGGAGGGGAGGAGGGAAGGAGGGGAGGAGGGAAGGGATGAGGGAAGGAGGGAAAGGAGGAGGGGAAGAGGGAGGGAAGGAAGGGAGGATGGAGAGAGGACGGAGGGAAGGAAGGTCACAGGACGAGTTAGTGGTGGAGAGGGGGCTTCTGCAGACCTGGGCTTTGGGCCTTCGCTTCGGATGTCACCGTTTGCAGACACGTTAGCCCCGGGGCACCAGCAGGTAAACTAAGGCAGGCGCGTGGGAGGGGGCGGGGCAGCAGCTGCCGGAGGAGCCCTCCGCCCCCCGGGCCTCCCCCGTGCCGAGG